GGTAAAAAGAATTTTTCAGTTTAAATCTTAACAAAACAGGGACCATCAAATAAGGCACACTCAATTTTTTCAACATTGTAGAAATTATGTATTTTTTTTTATGTTTTGTGGATGAGAAGACTATAAAAAGTACAAATGACAAGCCAGGGGATAATTCGCCCCCTGCCCCCACCCCTGTAAATAGTTCCTAATGAACTATTGATGGGGAATCAACGAGTCAGTTACAGTTACATTAAACAATTATTGTTTTGCAAAGGCAAAGAACAAGTTTTTCGACTTCTCTCACTTTATACCAGGTAAAGAATTACACAGATGCCTGGAGTCCATGTAAATGATGCCTTCTGACAGCTGTATTGATGTTATAAATCAGTCAATAGTTGTTTATTATGTGAACACACACAAGTTCCGGCGGACCAATAAAAACACTTACACCTCATTTATCCAATGAAAACAATGCATTTTCGATCTGCACGACCTTTAGTATAACATATAAAACAGGCTCTGTTATCAAAGTTAAGTAGTCACATTTGTTAGCAGGTAGCCACCATAGTTTCCAGTCTCAACAGTTGCGGAATGTCTCTGAGACAGTTGTGCAAGCGAACAAATAAACATGTTTCAAAAGCACTGTTTCTTTTCCCTGAAGAATGCAAAACAGGTATCACGTCAACTTGTTTCATCGTCGAGAAAGACCTCGATTTAGTGGAGGGACAGTCTGTCCAGGTTAACTGGGAGGGAAAGAAAGTGCAAGCAGAGATCCTTGCTGTAAGCGGTAAGTGTCAATCATATGTTTTGAGGTCTATATCTTTTAGTTAGGTGATCCTTTCTCGTAAGCACTAGCAATTTGGGTTACAGTTATAATTTTTTTAACACCAAGTCCGTAATTTCACGTCCATGTTACAGATGACGAGAAAGTGTTAGCTGAGAAAGACCTGGAATGGTACAAGAAGAATTTTCCAGCGGCGACAGAACAAATCCGAGAAACCACAGAGCCACCAAGAAAAAAAAGTGCCTGAAATAAGGTAATTAGTTAGGTCGCCTATTTCTTTGGGCTCTCTTAACTTCCTAATCTAAGCTCCGGGGAACTTCTTTTAATGGCGATTGACTGAAATTTAACATTTACTCGTTACACCAATTAAATCTTTGTAACATTGTCACTCGACCCTTACCTTGCATAACTCCAAAATGTTGTGAATTTTGTGATAGATTTTTTGCTCTGTTTTGTACTATTGTTGCTTGACCGCTACCATGTGTAGCTCTGAAGTGTTGTTGTTAATTGCATGAAGGAATTTTTGCTCTGAGCAAAAGGTAATCATTTGATTTTGATTGACTTAGCCTGCTGAAGTGCAATGTCCCAAGACGGAAGCAAACCCAAGTGACCACCCGTACGAGGAGTTCTTGGTCGGCCAGAAGCAGAGGCAGTACGACTGGCAAAAAGTCTGAGAATCCAAGAGGGCCAAGGTAGCAGAAAGCGCAGCACCTGTGACGGTGACAAGTTCCTCCCTACAAGACGATGTTGTCACTATACTCTGCCAGCAGCTCACTGCCAAGACAGAGGAGTGTCGTCAGCTAATGAATATGGTAGATGCCATGGAAGAAGCGAACACTAAAATTCTCTCCTGCCAGATGCAAATGCAAGAAAACTTTGTTAAGGTAATGCATTTACTTGTGGTCAGGTCCATTCTCTCTCGACACAAAGACAGAACACTCCATAGCTAACATCACTATTTTGCAATTGGGAAAATTTAAAATATTAGTTAAATGGACTACTTCAGGATTTAGAAAATCACGGATCGCCAATGACAAATTGAAAATCTGGGCAATTTTCTTTAAACCGTACTATTTTACTGTACATGGAGATTTCAGATTGCTATTAAAACACTTATTTGATTAGAAACCACAACTTCGCTAAACATAAATGGAGGCTAATAGACGGCCGTATCGAATTTGAAAAGCTAGCGTTTTGAGTGCTGGCCCTTCTGCCTTGTCCCAACTGAAGGTTTAACACTCAAAACATGTGCTTTTTCATATTCTCTAAGGTCACAAAAAGCTAATTTAAAAGCACTGTGTCCTGAATCTGTCAGCTGACCCAAATTTCCATTAACTCTTGTAGATGATGGAGAAATTTGAAACATCCCTGTCAGGAATGGAACACAAACTGGTGAACAAGATGTCTGCCTTGGAAAACAACGCGAGTGCTGCACTATCAAACATCGAAGGACGCCTGGAGTCACTGGAAGGACAATCCCTGACTCATTTTTCAAGGGTAAGAAATTTTTGTAAGACTGCTGCAAGATTTCGGCCTGAGAGTTTCTAGTGATACAATTCAAACAAAGAGGGTTTTCTCACTTTCACTTAAGCTGCAAAAGCAGGCTGATTTCCAACTTTTTTTACAAATGACTAGAAAAATTAGCGTGATGAGCCCAAAGAGCATCTCTCTACAACGTAACAGGCTAAGAAAATATGGTAATGTTTGATTATCAGCACTGATCATATTTCAGAAAAATTAAGTATGGTCACGCTAATGACCTATCAATGGGAGAAATTGGTGAGCAGACAAATAAAAACAACGTTGCTCTATTTTTTTCTTGCAGCTCGACCTCGATGCCACAGTCACAGATAACGGCTTTGCTGCTGACATCCCAGAGTTAGACAAAAATGAGCCACCTGCAGACATTGGGGGCCTAAGCACCATTGATACTGACACACTGGACAGGCTTTGTGAGGAGGTCCAACCAGTCAGGTTGTGCAACCTACCAGAGTGGCAACTTCTGCGCAGGAAGTTGGCGAGGAACTGATTGGTACGTGTGTGACACCCACGAAAATAAAAGCAGTCCAGCAGGCCCTGGGACGAGGAAGTGAACGGCACCTCTGTGTGCTGAAGCTCCTGCAGTCTTTTTTCATCAGCAAGAAACTAGCGAACAGCAATACTGATGGTACTTATGGAGAAAAGCGTCTAGACAGCGCCAAACTCAATTCACTTAAAGTGTTAGTTTTCAATAAGTTTCCAGCTGGCACCAGCGAGGATAAGGAGAAAGTATGGAGGTATATTAAGAGAAAAATTAATTCTAAGTGTCGTGCTATCCACAAGGTTACCCCATAAGACTCAGCTGATCGTTTATCGTAATCATTTTTTTAATAAACCGTAGCTTAAAATGCACCTAACCCCAAAATTTTTTTGTTAAAACGAATCTCCTTGTTATTTGAAATAGTTCTGCGAAAAAATTTTTGGATTCCACTAAATCCTCGATTTTCTGTGCCATGACAAAATCTCGAAAATAGCTCCAAAACACCGCCATTTTGTTTCACGACCAACTTTGAGGAGAACAGGTCCAGCGGCTCTTGTGATGTCTACCCAAGAAGGTTGGATTTCTCACGTCCTCTCATTTCCTTCAGGATGGTGCAATACACATTCGAAAAGTGCGCAGAAACGCCTTCCAGAGGTGCTATCGGCTTTTGCAGCAATATTCCAGATTTAAAGAAAGATATACTCTACAATTTACTGACGATGATCGGCTAATGGTGCAATAAAGACATAAACGATGGTTGATTTTGTCGAACCGAAACAAGCGAACTGAATCTGTGAGAACC